TTTATTTATATAAATTAACAAATAATTTATTATAATAATAACTATTATATTAAATATTATTAATATAAATTCCTATTATTTATTAATTTTAAAATTAATAAATAATATGAATTTAATAAAATAAAATAATAAAAATTATAACGAAGCTTTTAAATACATCAAAAAAATATTATTTGTAAAACAAAATAAAACCATCTCAATTTTAAATCTAATTTGTATTTTATCGTCTTGAAAATACTTGTCAGAAATTTTTGATTCAAACGAATGATCCAAAAATCAAATATGAATATTATTATCTCTTCATAAAAGACAAAACTTAATATACTAGATGGGGAAAATCGAATTTGGCACTCAATCGCGATAATATCGACGTGCGAAGTTTATTTACGGATTCCTTCTTGGTTCGTAAAGGCAGTCGCTTCCGTCGTTGAAATAATGACGACCAGCAAAACCCGCTTCTCACAACGGGGATCGATCTATTTCGGGATATTATGGAAAATCGAGGGAAGGTCAAACGAGAAAATTTTAAATTCGACTACGATACCGCGCCATTTTTTTCAGACTCGTGCGCGTTCGGCACCACTGTCGACATCTATTGGCAAAATTTAATTATCGATAATCAATTCGATCGATCGTCGATAATGCAGATTTTATTTTTTTCATTTTTTCGATTCACTAATCTTTATCAAAACGAAAGTTTTTAATATTGCAATAGTAAGTTTTAAAATAAAATAATAAATAATCAATGAAGTTTCTGTATTTCTGTTTTTGTTTTATTTTTATTTTGGAATTGGATAATTTGTATGCAGATTTCTAAGTTAGGTTATTATTGCCATCTATCAGATTAATGTGGTAACTATTATATATCAGAAAAATGGTCAAGTTATTAATGAAGTTACAGATGGATTTTCACTAATATATTTTCTTTTTATTAATTTCGTTACAAAAAGAAAAAAGAAATAAATTATTTCATTAAAATATCTTTCATTTAAAAAATATCTTTGAACTCAGTCGATAAATATCTGATAGAAATATTTGTACATGTATACGATCAATAAATAAATTTAAATTTACAATTACAATCATTCGTTATAGTCTATGATATAAAGCCTTGAAAATTGCTTATAGATTAATTTCAATAAACATCATCTCATAATTACACTCTCTTATATAAGTTTTTTCACAAAGGACAGTGTAATAAAATGCCTTTGGCAAAGAATTCAAAGAATATAAATGAAAAAACAAAGCCACCAGCGTCGTCAGCATATTTCTGAAAACCCTTGAAGGATATTGTCCGGGATTGCATCAAGAGGGTTGTATTAAAGGGCTGCTTATAAAAGTTTTTTCAAACATCTTGTAAAAAAAAAAAAAGAAGAAAAAAAGAAAAAAGAACAAGTATCGATGAAACTTCAGACGCAATCCAATACGCCATCTTTTATATAAACATCTCGGATATCACATAGTTGTTTTTTTTTTGTTTACTTGCCTTCTGTAAACTTTTCATTATTGCAAACAAAAGTGATATCACGTTTAAAGGTGCATAATAATAAATACAGTGATTTCTAAAATTATCAGTGATATCATAGGTGTTCCTCTTCGTTTACGATACATTAAGTAGAATGAACGAAAAAATCGTTCCTATTGAATAATCTCATACAAATATGGCGTCCATTCATTTCAAATATTACGAAGGAATGTTATTTTTGTTGTTGTTATTGTTTTCTCAGTCGATAACGTAAAATCGTTTAAAATTCATTTTTATATTAATGTTTTATAAATTAACATAAATAATATTTTATTTAATTTATTTTTTAATATTCAAGTAATAATTAAAAAGATATAATTAATTTTAGTTGATTTCATACGTTCGATCAATCATTAATTCAACATTACATCAATGAATTGTTTCAAATATGAAAATTTATTTGTAAAATGTCAATTAAATTTTGTAAATCATTAATTAAATATAAAATAAATAAAGACTTACCGATTGCGACGGTAATGGAGAGGTCCTAGTTTCGTACGATCTGTATGCATTCGTGTTATGCGTTCTTGCACCATTTAACGAGCCGTAACCGGGTGTAGCGTTGTTGCTGACGTGATTTCCTTCGGACGATACAGTGTTTTGTAAATCCGCCAATAGGGCATCTAAAAAATATCAAAAAAAAAAAAAAAACCCAAAATTAAACATATATTAAATTGTTTGAAACATTTTTCAAACATAACCAAAAATTTCGTAACATTTAAATGATAGTATACGATTGGACAAATCTAAAAAAAACACTTTGGTAATACTTTCGTAATATTTATCAGAATGTGTTAATCCAATTGGATTTGGTGATGATGTCACACATATATATATATACAATTTAGACAATATTTTTAAATGGACAGAACAAAAAAATATATACCCGGCTCGATAGCTTAATCCTTTCCGGCGCCATATTTGTTTTGTTCTATCGTTATTCGTAATCTCGTTCAAATCAAATATAATTACGCATATAATAATATACAAGGTGTCCTAAGAATCGTTTTTAATAGAGAAAAAAAATTAACAAATCAATATTAAATTAATAAAATGATATTCTCATGTTTTGTTCATTATTTTGTAATTCGTTTGATCCTTTTCTTCGACGCCATATTTGTTTTACCCTATCGCCACTCATATTTTATACAAATCAAATATATATATAAAATAAAAAACGTATTCCAAAAGTTACTTTTTACTAAAAAAAAAAATTATTAATATTTGTTTAATAATAAAATTACAATATTTTATCATTTTTAGATATAAATCTTTAATTATTATGTATGGGACTACCATAGTGTCATTTTCAATGCCTGGTAAAACAATTATTGAAACACCCAGTGTATAAATGAAGAAATATAGAAATAATTACCAAGATTAAATAGATTGTTATCAGCTTTGTTGCCTTGATAAGCCTCGTAAATGTTATTATTCTCTGTGTAAGATTGAAACGCAATAATATCTTGTTTCTCCATGACAAATAATGAAAAGTCCGACGTCAAAACAAAAGGAAAAATTTAATGTAAACTTAAAACTCTTCGTCACTTTAAAAAAAGATCTTTTTCGACTGACGTGACTTATCAATGTTGAGAAATATTTTCACATCCTAAGTATTACTTCGTCACCACTGTTCAAAGAAAACGTGCGTGTATATAAGAGATACGTGTAATATAATAAAGAAAAAAAAAAAAACAAGCCACGAACAACCTCAAAAATCCGTCAACTTTATCGAGAGGCAAACGAGAATTGAGAAACGAGTTGAGGAAAAAAATTATTAGTTAGTCTCGATGATGTCATCTAATTGCAAAAGGTCAATGACCTTCCTCTTCTATTGTACGAGACATCATCGAAGATATTCTTGAGAAAAAAAATAGATTCATTAGATGAATACAACAATATTATCCACGTAAACTGTTGAATTGTTCTTTTGCAAAAGATTATTTGCAATTAACCACAATAATCGTTGTTATAATTATTCATTAAAAATCTTGAGATTAAAATAATTAACCTCGAGAAAATATATAATAATTATTCGTAAAGAAAATAAATTTTCAAATTATTACGATTAAAATATGGATAAAAATATATTTTCACAAAAACCTAACCTCAATCAAATTGTTACATATAATAAAATAATAATAAATCCTTTTCTATCTCACCAACTCGCACGTTTGCTTGTGTCAGTTTTATTGGGGGATGGAGGATGGAGGTGTAGAAAAACAAATAAAATTCTATCGAACGAGATGTCAAAAATTTACAAAAATGTCTTTTACAAAATTTTTTAAATGCCGTGTTATCTATCACGTGTGTCACAAAAGTATGTCAAACAGTGTGACAAAAAATTAATGTCACGTGTAAAACGTTCGATTGACGAAACGATACTGATTGTCAATAAGATTCTTGGTAAAGGCTGAAGCCACGAGAAAGAGAGAGAGCCAATCACCATGGTTGCCTGGAGGAAAAGAGTTGGAGAGGGGGAAGGTGAGACGAATATGGTGGGAGAGAATTCTCAATGCTAGAGGTAGAAGAAACACGATGATGTTGCTCTCGTGTTAGAGAGAACAATTTCCTAGACTCTTCTTCTTCTTTATTCATCTTTCTGTCTGCTTGACTTGTGACTCTCTCTCTCTTTCTCTTTCTCTCTTTTCAAACACACACAATATGCAACTTGATGTATCAGTTAACTTCTGATACGAAGAAAGACAGAACACAAGCCGATAATTTACTGGTAGTTCTTCTAAGGAAAATATTCTTCGATAATTTTTTTCTATTTATTTTTTGTTTGTTTATTATTATAATTCTATCTTTTAAATTGTTCAAGAATTCTTATTAATTTTTGTCATATAAAATATTCCGTATATAATATGACCATGTTTATGGTAATAAAATGAACATCGGAATAATGTCGTAAAAACTTAAAAGAAAAATATGTATATATAAGTTGTTTCATTATCATATAAAATGCACATATATATGTGTATAATAACAATTTGAAATTATAGCAATTGGTTATTGTATAAAATACTTTTATGGTACAATAATTTGTGATTATGTTGATTGTTATTAATATAAAATGCTCGGGTATACAATAATTTGAGGTTATCATTACAAAATGAACGCCGCCAGTAGTGTAAAATTAAACATGAAACTCTTGCTGCTATTATTTTTCAATCGTAATTTTTCTTTTTTTTTTTTTTCTTTTTTCATTTCCCCCTAGTCGAATTTAAATTTCTTCTTTTATACAAACAAATAAAGAATGATATTTTAAAGAAACGGTTTTTTTTTTTTTAGTGGAATTAGTGTTGTAAAGTATACGGAAATGGTAAACCGCGGATGTATGTAAGTATGTGTGAATGAGAAACCCAAATATTGGCCAGAAGCCCGTTAAAACTTCATGAGTCCTATTTTATACATCTGATTCATACTGTCTAACAAATCAGGGCGTCGAGAAAGAAAAAATAACGAAATAGAATTAAAAAAAAAAAGAAAACACTCGTAAACGAAAGGACACGCGGCATCACAAATGAACAGTTCGTTAAAAAATTAAATTACAGATAAACATAAACAAAAAAAAAATGATAAATATAAACATGTACAAATAAAAAATTTATTACTGGTCATAAAAAAAATGTGAACAAATGAGGAAAAAAAGAAACCACACCGACGCATATTTTGTATTAGATAAAACATTGATTCACACATTCAGGAAATAAAATAATAATAATAATAATGATAATAATAATAATAAACAAAGAGAAAATTATTTTATTTTCTTTTTTATTTTGAAATCACGTATTTTCTCGTGATAAGGATAATACTTACTAACGTATTGTTCCCATCGTGCATGTCGCTGGATAGTCGCCAAACGAACAGGCGACATGGGTCTCATAATGTCCGTCATATTTAACACGTTTTTATCCTTGGGATTATATCTCTTTCTTTCTCTCTAATTCTCTTTTTTATTTTTTGTTTGTCTTTTTTTCATTAATATACATGAACATAAGCACGTAACGAATTGAATACTGTCTCTGTAAATTTTGAAGAAATACGTCTGGTTGTATGAATTTTAACAGATAAAACGTCGATCTACATTTATTAGACGTAGAACTCTGGATGAAAATGGTGCCACGTGATTGGCTAGTAAAACTATTATAAGACAAAAATAAATCTTGAATTAGAACGGGGTTAGAATGAGAAAAAGAAAGAGAGAGAGAGAGAGAGAGAGAGAGAGAGAGATGACGTTCGTAACGATATTAAATTTGACTTAGGGTAAAATAATGTTCTGTACAAATTTAAAAATTGAGAGAACAGAGAAAAAAAAACAACAAAAATGATTTCGTCTAAGAATTCTGTGAACGATTTAAATTCAAATGTAAAAATATGAATTACACGAGACACACACACATGTGTATGCCAGACAAAAATTTAACTTCTACTTTATCTTTCTTTTTCTTTTCTTTACTTTATGTTTTTGTTTTTATTTTTATTTTTATTTTTTTTTTGATCCGATACGAATCTTAAGATCTATTTGTGGTCCATCATAAATCTTTTCTTGACTTTAACAAATGTTTCGTAGTAAGTAAGTAAGTAAGTGAACACACGTGATGTAAAATTTGCATCCAACGAATCTACTTTACCGACACGTATTGCATGGGATAAATAAGTTTTGTTTTTTTTTTTCGTTTTTTTATTTTTTTGAGAGGAAAAAGTTATTAGGATATTTTACATTGTTTTTTTTTCTTGCAAGACCATGCTTATTCTGATCAGTATTTTTATATGAGAGAAAGTAAAAAGAAAGAAAAGAGAAAGACAAACAAATGAGGGATGTATATAAAATAGAACATAAAAGTTCAACTTTTTGTGCTGAGTTCTATTTTTCTTTTTGATAAGTTGCCAAAATAGAAAACTTTAAATTTACAGTACGTTGAAAATGCGCGTGTGTACGCAGAAATTAAATTAATGTAATGTTCAATTTTTACATCATGAGAGACAAAAAATAAACGAACAAGTTTTCCATCAGTTAAAATTATGCATCGTTGAAATATCAATTTCCTAAAAAAAAGAGAAAATATAATAGAAGAATATAAAAAATAAAATAAAATTAAATCAAATTAAATATATGTTTGACGAAATAAAATAATAAATTTCCAAATGAAACAAAATGGTTTTACAAATTGCGGAAGAGAAAACAAACAAAATCAAAAAAAGGAAGAAGAAGAAGAAGAAAAAAAACAAATTCCACGAGTTCTCGGTACGATGATGATCAAGGTCAAACCTACCGATGATGGATTGACGATGTCACGTGACCAAAGAAAAAGAAAGAAAAAGAGATAGAAATAGAAATAGAAATAGAAAAGGTTTAAAAAGAAACACAACACTCACGGAAGATCAAAACTAATCAAAACAAAAGAAAAATGTTTATCAAAGAAAAAAAAAGGTCCGATCGTCTGGCAAGATCAGACAGAACTGACTTCTAGACACACGTGTTGATCACTAAAAGCTGCACCTACAAAATATCATCATCGGTTGGTTACGTGATAATCGGTTTTACAATCTATCTCACTCTCCTCCTTGTCCTCTAAATTCTAACCTCAAATTGAATATGCATATATATATATATTATATATATATATATATATATATATATATATATATATATATATATATATATACCATATATACATATATTAGTTGATTGCTATATACCCAGTAGTTTCCAATTTTGTTTTTGGCCATGTCCCATCTAATGTTTCTAAAACCCTGATGTGTGCCCTTCCCCTACCCCCAACTCTCTCCGTGTGACAAATAACCATAATTTTAAATATATTGTTATTACTAATTATTAATAATTGGTATTTTTTTTCTATCAATTACAAACAATTTCCTTTTTAAGATAAATATATTAGAAATATAAATATTAACACATTTGCGACCGGCACATTTTTTCCTTTTTTAATACTGAGTACCGGCAAAAATAATGGATTATTTAAATTTATATTTAAATAATAAAATATAATAATATATAATAAAATATAATTATTAATAAATATTATATTGAAATAATTAAATATAAATTTAATATATAAAATTTATATAAATATATAAATATAAATTTAGTTTTATTAAATTTTTAAAATTTTAAATGACGCGTGAATCACGTCAGCGATCGCGAATGTGTTAATTGATCATCCACCAATCAAAAATTGTAATATATAAAATCTCATAAATTCATCCAATAACATTCTGTAACATTAATTGCACTAGGAAGCAACCTACGGGTTTTAAAGTAAACTATTAAACGTGGGAAGTTGTATTGACTTATGCTCGAACTAGATATGGTTGTGAATTCTAAATCTGATCCAAGGAGGAAGTTGAATATCGATCCTGATTTTTACCTTGAATCGAAAAGAAAAAAAAAATAGAATAAGAATGTTAATAATTTGTGAATAATTTTTAACAAAAAGACCTTGAATAAATATACGCACAGTGTAAATTTGCAAAATAAAAATACATGACTAGTGTAAGCGCGTAACTGTGCGTTTTACGGTTTTCCTCAGGGTCAAGTTAGAAATTTACTGCTACTATGTCTGTTTGTCTAACTCTTTATAAGAAAAAGAAATTGAAAAAAAAAAAAAGAATACATAGACCTGTTGTTTATTTTATTTATTTTTTTTACGTTATCGAATATCAATCAAATAAATTTTTGATCGAACAAAAAAACAAACAGTCGTTAAGTCGGCCATTTTGGAACCCCGTTGGGTATCGTCAACGATAAAATTTCAATTTGTTTTTTTAATGAGAATATAATTAATCATTATAATGCAAAGTATACTATATTTAAATGACTAATGAATTATTCGAATGTTCGTATCTAATTTTAAACCTCACCTTCTGTCGTCATGTTGAATGAATTCAT